CATCAGCGCAGCATAGACAACAGAAACAATACAATTTTGTTGTACTAAAGTCACATATTATTTATAAATAATATTATTTTATGCATTATTTAAAATTTCGTGATTTTATATAATATATTATTATGTTAATTAATTAATATGAAGATATGAAAATATGAATTAAAATATGCTTGAATAAAACATCAGTGCATAAACTTTATTACAAAAGTAACAAAAATGTATATTTCATAAAATTAAGTGTCAATGAAGAATCAATAGGAAATTAGTACCCTTAGTCCTGTCATTAATGTTCACACATTTTAACTTAGGCAGTCACTCACCACCGTTTTGTTGACAGATTTCCTACAATCGAATTTGTGCGATTTCCCCTTGTATAAATAATGCTTAATGATTTGTGGTGCAGTTGTGTTTTTTTAACGTATAAGATTTCGTATTTTCATCTTATTTCTTTCTGCTTTATTTATATTATGCACATAAAGAATTTATTTCCAACTGAATGGATACAGTTTTTTTGCTTATCTGTCAACAGCATTTGATTTTTGTATTTTAAAAACAATAAAAAGATAAAGCTAACGCTAACGCTAACGCAAACGCTAACTTAAAAATGGCGTCAAATGAACATATAAATTCGTAATATTGAAATCGTTGATGATAAAAATTTGGGTTACTTAAACCTTTGTACTGAATAATTCAGTTGTGACATTTCAATGCGTAGACAATAAGACTGTATACATACATCTTTTAAAATTCAAGTCACCAAAATATTTATATTACATGCATAACACAAATTAATTTTCTAATTAATTAATAAAAAAAATACTCGTAGATATTTTTTAAAATAAAATTAATATATAAATCGTTAGCATAAATAGTGCTTATTTAAAAATATTGTTCTTGCAATTTTAAAAACAAGTTCTACACTGTTAAACTAAACAGGACTTTTAAAAAATAGGCGTTATTCGTAAGGACATCTGTTGACCATTACTAAAAGACATGGTTTTAACTGAGCCTCTTATGATAAAATGAACGAACTGCCAAAGTTAGATGACATTACATAAATAGAGACACTCTTATTTCGTTAATTTTAGTTACAAATTATTAAGTTAATTATTAGTTATTAAGTTCATTTCATAGGTACAAATATGAGTACAGAGAATAGAACTGACAATTGGTTTAGTGTTACACTAAGTAATATTTTTTTTGAAACTTTTTAATCAATGAACCAAGTTTATGGTCACGCTTGTTTATATTGTGACATAGTTCATAATTGTTATACGCGGTTTGAAAATGGCCGTAAAGACAAAATAATTCCATAAATGATAATATTATATTTGAGCGGCTTAACTCCGTTACAGCCAGAGCTTTCATGAGAATTGTGCGTAAATACAATAATCCGCTAAAATCATCATTGAAATTTATGGAATTGGGACTTGTAAGCAATAATATTATTTATTGGGCTTTTTGATGTCCCATAAATGATGTACATTCGTGTTTAGAAATCTGATGTTCACTTATAAAACCTATTGGCACATACTTGCGTCGGTAAAATTAATCGATACCCATATTTACCTATCTTGTCGGGTATTGAACTGACATTCTAAAAAACTGTCGTTAATCAAGCAAAAATTCTGCTTCTATTTGTTCAAATATCATAACATTTTTATACGAGTAGCATAATAATAGTTACATATAGATATATGTATTTAAAAAATTCAGGTATATGTTTTCAATTAAATGTGTAAGAAGTACATGTAAAGTGATGTGGTAAAAAAAGGTAAAATACCAAGAGTTCCAGTATTGACTTCTCACTGACCATAAAATTGCTTCATTCAGCTGAATACTGTTTGTAAGTCCCTAATAATTTTACGATTTTTGTAATACAACAGAACTAGTTTGAACCAATGAAACCAATGAACATTCAGCAACGGCTTACACCTAATATATGTCCATCAGGAAACTTGTTCTATAAGCTTGTTTTTTTTATCGCAGCGTAAAAAACAAACTTTTTTTCTCAAAAAGTGTATGACGGATATTTCTCGTCTTACCATCTCGTAAGTATTTTTAACTTACAATCTTAGTCATTTTTGCATCTATGATACTCATTACAGAACAAAAAGGATATTGATATCTTTTTGTTTTCAATAGAGTTCAGGATAAGACCAGGACCCTCAGTCAAATAACTGCTGTGGCAAAGCGGATTAAAATATAGGTGACATAAAATAAGGAACTAGCTAACTTATCTCAAACTTCTTGCATTCTTTAATTAATCTAAGAAGATCAGATAAAAAGAGAGTCCATATCCGCAAGACAATATAGACATATCCAATTTCTGATAATTGTAACAGTGATATCTATCTGTGTTGTGCCCTGCCAACAATCTGAAAATGAGAAATTGTGTTAGATTTTTGTGAAGTTCTTCCACAAAGTTTTTTGACACTTCATGACACTTTAAGTTCCCATATCATCACTTTCTTTTGCGTACAATGCATTTAAAGACATTGACTTAACAAAGAAAACCTGTAGAACTAGTGATAAAATCGGTTCTATGTCTATAGATATCATGCTAGAATCTTTATTGGCGTTGATATCAAGATAATAGATTCTACATTACATGGTGCCGATTACATTTTTGTAGATTATTAAGTGTGTAATCTTTCTACCTATTAATTTAGTCATTCTTGAGAACTGGTTTTTACTTCTTATAGTTTTTATGGGCGAACATTCCTTTGCTGTCTATTTACCAGTTAATATTGAATATAAAATATCTTAAACACACACAAGTAAATTAGCTTCCTCATTTTTGACAATTTGTGCGCTTCGTAGTTGCAAAAATGTGGATAAAAAACAATTTATCGCAAACTGCAATCAAGTTTTCATCATTTTATTTAATAAACCATATTTTAACTAAAACTTCTCTAACATTACTTAATTAATCAGCCTTTGTCAAATTAATTCGACGAACCAGAAAAACAACGCTTTCATTACGACAACTTCTATATGCATGACCCGCACTAATTTGCTATTTGTATATAGTGGAAATAAACAGATTTAGTTAATAGTTAAGTTGTATAGGGTATTCCCCCCATACCATCAGTAGGGATCTATCGAGCATCTTAAATATTTATTTCATTACAGTGTTGTTCAATGCTTTTGCAAGTTCAGTATTCACGAGAATTAATGATGTACTTAAGACAATCTACTGTTGTATAACGGCACACTCCTTAAAAAACTTTAATCTCGATCTATCCTTCCAACATCCTTTAGTGATTTTTCAAGAGTTTTTTATATTTTTTAATGTAATTTAATAATAATAGGTATGTAATTTTTCCAATACTATTTTTAGTTCTCGATTTTTTTACCAGGAAGGTTTTTATATTCATATAGTCATAATTGATTTTTAGGTTTTAAGTTGCTTTTTATCTCAAATTTTATCATCTTCCGATATTTCCCTAATTTTTTTCCTATACCATGAAACAGTGGCGTAACTACAGGGAAGCGACTGAAAGCAACGCTTTCGGGCCCCCGAACTTAGGCGGCCCCATTATAAATTTATGTATTCATTATATTTATTTTTAATAAATTCTCAAATGTGGGACAAAACGTTTTTTTGTTGAAATAACATAAATTTTGGTTTTTGAACAAGATTGAATTTGTAATTTCAAGAAAATCTTTAAAGGATCCTATTCAAGAAAGTAGAAGTTTCAATGCTTCATATTATTCATACTATTAATTTAAAAACAAAATATGGAACAGTGCCACGACTTTGGTTATACTATTTAAAGTTATTGGATTCAGTGTATTGTAAGCCGTGCTGGTTATTTTCTAATCAAACAAATCAATGGTGTTCTGGATTTCGGGATTGTAAAAATTTGTCAGGAAAAATAAAAATACATACATCTATAAGAATTAGTATGCCAATTTCAACCAAATCAAATGGTGAACAGGGACCGCTCCCGAAAAGTATGTGTGTAAACTTTCATTCGAAGAGTTCAAAAGCTGAGAGAGTAGTTTGAACTAAAAAAGTTTATATATACATATACTGATATATACTTTATGGTATTTTCGCCGTTTCCTTTTCGTGTAAAGGGTATAAAAAGATGTTAGTAGGAGGCCCTTAGTTAGAGTTTGCTTATGGGCCCAAAAAATGTAGTTACGCCACTGCCATGAAATAATACATAAACTCGTATGCTTCCTATTGTGAATGTCAACCATTCTGATGCAGCTGAATTCTATATTGTTAAGTTTGTATAAAATTTACTACTTTGCGGAAATTTATTTTTCTGTTATTTTATGATAAAAAAGATATTAAATAAAATATAATTTTTTTATTCTCTATTTCCACAAACTGTTGTGCTCACATTCTGTGTTTAAGGAGTTTGGTACATTCCACTTTATTTTATATTAATAACTGTCGACGATAAATAGCTCTGATACATTATTTGATCAGCAAAAATTGAATATAAATATTAATTATATTGAGATATTCTGGTTTATGGTTCGGAAGAGACAGTTTTTAAATATGTATATCTATATAATTATTCGTTTACATCATTTTTTTTCAATCATAATAAATTTTTTAACTATTAAGATATTTGTTATACATATATTTGTTATTCCATAGATATTTGCAGAGTTTCTAAACCTTAATAAAATAAACTTATATAATTTATAATATATATAATATATATAAAAACTTATATAAGAAATTAATCTAAACACACAGAAACTGAATCGGTATACAGGTATGTTATCATATGTTTGCACACTGAATCAAGTTACAGGTATTAATTATATTATATTCAATATCAATAAAGTTTTCAAACAATATGGAGTATAACCTATAAGGTTATTTTAGTAAACTAACAGTAAAAACTGAACTTTAATTAAACAGTTCATACTTTTAAAAAAGTTTTTAAAAATTTTTAACCAGATTCTGAGAGAATAATATGTAGTCATCATAAATTTATATTACATTGAGTTGAATTTATAACATTACTTACACTGGGTATATTATCATTAGTACAAACTTCATCATGGAGTAATTTATCTCGAATTTCCCACGCAAATATGCTTGGGCATTCACGCTTGTACTGCGAAATTTTGTTTACTACTTCTGCAGTTGCAACGCGAGGTTTTGAACCTCCGATAGCTCGAGGCCTTATACTCCCTGTTTCGTAATATCTATTTTTACACAAATAATATTTTGATTTAATTATGTTCAATACTTTTTTCTTAATGTTTCTTTCATGCATTACCTTCCTAATATTTTACTAACGCATCCATTTGATACTTGAAGTATTCGCGATATATCGCATGGACGTGCTCCGGAGTGAGCAAGTTCAACAATTTTTTGTCTTGTAGAGTCTGGTAAGGGACGTCCTCCAACAAAAACACCACCTAGTTGGTTTACACCACTGTGACCTAAATAAATAAAATAGCAATTTTTAACAAATTAATTTTCAAATCGAAAATAATAAAATAAAACGCCTTCTTAGGCCACAAAACAATAGAAAATGTATTATTATGTATTATTAGAAATTAATATGTGTTATTAGAAATCATTTGATATTTTATAAAATATTTATGTTGGTTCTGTATATATGTTATATAAACATGTGAGGCAGATATCTTCAGCAATCAACCACTTATGAGTCAATTGTTTATATGTTTCCTATCGTTTCGTGTGCTTCAGATTTCTTACGATTTTTCTACAGTTCCCTAATTCAAATTCACTAATTTGTAATCAAATTATTTAATTATTATATATTTATTATAAATTTATACATATAATACAAAACACTAGGCTATGACTTGTAGGCATTGTAGATTTTAAATCAACTTTTTCTGGAGAACTTTCGGAAATGTCTTTATTCACAACTTTATAAATAATATGCAATGTAAATTGTTTGTATTTAAGTTTGGCAGAAATTATTTCTTTTGAGATATTGTCTAGGTAGTATTTTTAAACAACTTGCAACTTGTAATGCATTGACGAATGATTTATTAAATTTTTTAATGTATTTAAATTTAAAACAAAATTCTAAGCGAAAAAAAAATGAAAAAAATCTTCGAAATAGAAGTCTCAACAATTCAGTAAAGAATAAATTTGCAAATATATTCCACGTTTGGATATATACTATGATCTACTTCCGATATATACTCTAATTATAGATCTAATTAGATATCCGCTATTATGCCCATTACTTAATATAATTTATTTTTTAAAAATCTTGAAAAGTACATACATACTAGTTACTGAAAGATTTAGATAATATATGTATATCCTATGTGTATACCCTATTTATACGATTTTTTAAACTGCACGTATTAACGTAGTCCTAAACCGGATCGAAACTTTTTAAGGTATAAAAATAGATCACTTTTGCTGCTTATAAATAACTGCTACTATGAAGCAGCATTAGCATAGGAAGATCTCCCTAATTAGAAATATACATTTAAATAACTGACTCTGAAAATCGCAGATCAATTTACTACCATGCAATTATTGCTAACAGAATAAAATCTCTACTCATGTTGGTGAGTGAAATGATGCATCCTCGAAAAAAAATTCTATTATGAAACAAATGACTTTTTATGGAACAAATTCTAAGAAATTCTATTCTGTGTCACACACAACTACGAACATTTATCATCCGACATTAAGCACTGATTTTATCCATCCCAATATTAATATGAAGTCTAATTAAAAATATATATATAAACATAATTATCTTATCTCTAAGAAAATGGAATCTAAAAGAGGCAAGAAAGGAAGTTCATCAACGGAGAGTAGATGTTCTTTATAACAAACATTTATCAAAATATGCAACTTCATATAATTGCCTTAGTCGCTTTATTCTGAAACACTTGAATTATTGTTAGTTAAGTCAGGATGATATCGATTATTTTGAATATTTTAACATTGCTAATGTAAATATATTGTAATTACTATGTGTTTTTAAAAAAACAAATACAATTCAATAAAGACTTAAAAATATTTCATTTAAACACAAGCAATTGTTATTTGAATGCAATCGACCTCAATATCATCGGTTCAAGTGTGCCAATATAATTGCATCAGGAGTTTCATTTTATGCGCTGTTAACTCAGAAATCTTTTTATTGAATCAGAATTTTGGATAAAGATATCAACAAAATTGTTAGCGAAATTGGGGGGATGAAATTAGAAAAATTTGAAAAAAGTATTTCTTTAAGCACAGAATATAAGAGCACTTTAAGTCTTGCGCCTAACAATGAAATCACAGTGGTTAATCAGTGAAAATGGTTTTATTATTTTTCGAAACATTCTCCAGTTTTGCCACTCTGAAGTGCATATCTCCAGAACCAGGGTTTTGAATATCTTAACGGTCTTTTCTGGCATAGAAAAACGCTCGCATTGCATTTTTTTAATGTTTGGCAACAAGAAGATTTCATTGGTACCAAGTCGGAACTGTAAGGCGGATCCATCAATTCGATGTTTTGAGTGCTCAAAAACTCTTTTGTTTGAGCTGATGTATGGGAGCTCGTATTGTCGTGGTGGACAACAACTCGACGGTTAGTTTTCTTCAATACTCTGTAAACTTCCGGCAAATAAATGGTTAAATACTACTCAGAATTGACCGTTCTACGTTGTTCAACTGATACAGTTTCGACATGACTAGGTTTACTAAAAAAACATGTGACCATTTGTTTGGATTTGCTCCATCTGCGAACAACTTTTGTCGGGTTCTGCCTACTTTGGAAGACCCAAACAGTTAATTTCTGATTTATCTCGAGCTCATAGGCATAGAGCCATGATTCGTCATATCACGATTTCGTATACGTGTTTTGAGCCCATTGTATGCTCCGGTATGTACCATGCCGATCTATCTCAATCATTTATATTTGGTGAATATTTTTTGATGGAATAGCCGATCTTGAACGATCTTTATTCGGTGTGGAGAAAAGGACGACTACGCTCGAGCTCACTGAACCAGTCTTTTACAGTCGTTAGATGTAGCGTTTGCATTATTTTCTGATTAACCTGCGTCGAAAATCATAAATAAAAATCGCATGAAAATGTTTATTATTTAATTCCATTTTTTGCAGAGTCAAATTTTGGAATTGCTGTAAACATCATAATAAGAACACGTAAAGTAAAACATCATGCCATTTATGCTACAAAAGGGTCTAACCATATATATTAACTGTTTTAGATAGTGTAAATAGGGTAGATTGTTAATAGGATAGATTTGTACTACTATACAGTCAAACTCCTTCAAAGTTCTTAGATTTAAATGGTTTTTGAAATGGTTGAGTTCTGTCCAAAATGTAACGCATCTCGGAATCAGTTCCTGACGCAATTTAACACCTTCTCTTTTACGTTTTTGGTCACCGAGATATTGCTTGTATTTGCAAAGCGAATGAACCAGTTATCCAAAGCGGACCTCTAAATGATCTTAGTATTATGCAAGCAGTAATGGAAATCGACCATTTTTATATAAAAAGTAATTCTCTGTTAATATCATGACTTTTTTTTTATCAGACTAGAAGACTGGATATTATCTTTCATGGAAGAAAGTCCTTTACATCTACAATGTATTGAATATAATTGAAACTTAATTTCTGAAGAATCTTTGCCAACTGTAGAAACTCTTAAGTTGGCCCACAACAGATTATAGGACGAAAAAGTATAAAGATGAACGTTTTGGAAGTTGTCAGTAACCAACTGCATATACAGATAGGTATGTTATAGTTTTTGTTGATGGGTATATAAATAAAATAGTTATTCCTGTGGCTTTTTTGTAATAATTCATGATTATAATAAAAGTACCTACAAATTCACAGCCGAAAATTCAAAATTTGAAATTTTGAAATGCAAGGAGACACAAGTTGTCCCACAAATGGCCAGTAGTTTTTCTTGCTTGGCACTAAATCGTATAATATTGAACTATATTGTAGAATTGCTGGAAATAGGTTTGTAGCTAAAAATACCCAAAATTGTTGTCAAAGTAATAAAAACAATAAAAAACTGATACAACATACAGGCAGAGGCAACTTATATATAGATGTTCTACGCCAATCGCAAAATCTACAACAATTTTAAAAGTTCAGAAAATTTCACTTTTTTCTCAAAGTTAAATCTTACTAATACTATCAGATATCATTTTTGAGAAGTTCAAATTTTGTGATATGTACTATGAGCATATATGTATTTATTTAATTTATATGGTTTATTTTGCATATGGATGTGATTTTCTTCTTACTTAGTTAGATTAGTGGTTGTTATAGATTAAACGGAGATCGAACGGTTAAGTTTTAATCGTTATTCAGGCTTAGTATAGTTTCACATATAATAAATATAGTTACATCTTTAGAATTACTATTTTCAGAATAATATTTACAAATAACACCAGTTTTTATATTTGTGTAAACAAAACCATTCTATATTATTTTTATTGAACGCCATTTTGATTGATTTACATACGAGTGTCGAATATAACGCTAAATAGAATTAAAACCGAGAATTAATGCTTTTAAGCGGCAATATTTCTACTTAAGCGACATTATCGGTATATGTTGAATTACTAGTGGAGAACTTAGAGAACCAATAATATTAAGCGGCAATATTTCTACTTAAGTGACTTTATCGGTATGTGTTGAATTACTATTGAAACTTAGTATACTGCATAGGACCGCAGCATATGCTTCGGGAGATGCATCCGAAGTAAAAGCCACCTGAAGTTGTTTCGTATTTTGCCAAGAGGTCTAAAATAGTTTCCATAAATTTAGACAGTGTACATAATTTCACAAAACGGTTGTGACTCAGGACACCACTTTCTAAATTAGAAACTTCCACTATTCAGTAGTTCATGATATCAATTTTGTTGGAAGTGGAATTTTTTGTTAAGATAACCTAGCGTCCAAGGACTTAACAAAGTTTCTGAAAAACGGTTGACGACTTTTCCAATAAATGTTATGATGGAAGTGACAAGTTTATGATGTCACTATCTGACTAAGAATTGCGTTACATAATAAATAGTAATTTTCATTGGCACCAAAGTTGTCCGCTGTATATTCGAGTACTTGTTGTTGTTTATTATCTGATTCCTGAAAAATTGATTATATATTTATTAATACAAAAGCTCGAATAAAGTTGACATTACCAAAATGTAAACTAGCCAAAAACGTATTTTTTAGATAGATCCATAATTTAGCGAGCTGATTTTAGAAAAAATATCATCACTGGAAGCTTGGTACAACTTTTGATATTTGATATCACTATTAAGAGTGACAGTAGCAGTCTTCAAATTTTCAACAGTCTCCAACATTAAAAAAAGTTGTCTTCAAGAATTGCAATATTGCGAATTAAATTATCACAACTCGTAGATGTCGTAAAACTCACTTTGCTTTTGTTACCAACAAAAATATTTTGTAAGATTT